TGAACTTGTTTTTTAAAAATTGTTAAAATATAGATTTTTTAAGTAATTTTGAATGTCGGCCATGAGTAAGTGCTGTAAAACGTCACGAGTCGTCGATCTTGAAATATTGAAAAATTGTGGAAATATTAAAGAATTGTAAGTAAATTCTTGTAATATTCCTTCCGTCTCGTGACATTTTGGCTGGGTTTTTAAAAAAGGTGTGCTGTGCTGGAACGTACATATTCTATACTACTATCAAAATATAAAACGTCAGAACTGTCAACAATATCAACTATTAGCTGATGTTAATGTTAAAAGTGATGTGTGAAACTGACTGCAATCTGACCAATCAGAAGTCTATATAATTGCTAACTTAAATTCAAATCGCAACTCCTAGTTGAAAAACAGATTATAGAACTCAATCACTTAGATGTAGGTAACTCAAATAAATATATTAAATAAGAATTTAAATGAGAAAACCAAACATGGTTGATTCACAAACACTTTTATTTAAAAAAATACACACATTTGAAAAATATATTTTTACTGATTTTATTACGTAAGTTAGCCTACATAGGGAAAACTTTTTTATTATTAGTTTTTGGAAAAAAATATTATTCTTCATAAAAAATTGAGCATGGTCTAAAACCTAAAATAAAGCTATCATAATAATGTTTTTGAGCAGTATACGAGGTGCGTCAAAAAATATATATTTTGCTTAAGAGTAAAGCACTTTATTTTTTTACTTACGTAGACGCATTGTAGATAAATAAATACCCATCAACTTTCTAGAGCTTCTGTTATTTTAAATAATTGTTCTTTTAATTATTTCTAAATGCCCTTAAAATTGAGAACTCAACTTAGAAAATATACCCTTGTATTGAATTCACAAAAGATTGTATACAGACCAGTCGAATTAAGTTATTTAGATGAAAAAAAATTTAAATTGTTAATAGGATTTTGATAAGTGTAAATGGTAAGGGGGCTTATATTAAATAAAAAAAAATAAATGCAACCGGGGAGGGTTGAAGTAAAATTTTAGGGTGTTGAAAAATGGTATTATCGCGTTTTCCGGCGAAAGTTGACGTCAAAAACAAAAATGTATAATGCAAACGTGTAGATCAAGCAATAATATTCAGATTTGTAGAAGTCATTTATTAAAATAACCTCAAAATTTTCGATAAAAATTCAAAACAGTTCGCTCGAATTTTTACGTTCGTATTCTGTTTTTCTTTCTCCAAAAATAATTCAATTTTGATATTTGGTGAAATTATACCTTTTTGTGTTTTTAATAAGCAAAATATTTTTTAAATAAAAATAAATAATTTGGAAACATTAATTTTTTTCGGTAAAAAACACTTTTTTTTAAAGAAATTTTACGGTAAAAAATTATCATACAAAGTTCTTCATGTACTAATTTTTTTCGTTTTGACATACAGTTTTTGATAAAATAAAAAACATTATAGTCACTATTAAAAAACATGCTTAAAACGGGATAAAAACAAAAAATGGCAATGGCAACAATTAATTAATCCTGAATTATTGATATAATGTGTCTTAAAAAAAAACTTATTGCACCATTCAGTTGTATGGAAAAAAAAATAAAAGCAACTGTTTTTTATAAAACGCAAAAACAGGTCTATTGAATTTTTTGTGCGCTTTTCACCCCTTTTAAGCGGTGAAACCTAACTACACTTATTTTTTTTAAATGGGATGACACTACTTGTGGCACCTCGTTCCAAAGTTTTTTTAAAAAGAAAATTGGCTATGCAATTTTTTCTCATTTTAATAAAAAAAATTCTATAAAATAAAAAAATAGACACTAAAATGTGTTTTAAAATTTTCATATTTTTATATTCGGGGTGGGAACTTTAAATGGAACTAACTCGCTAGAGCCGCAGGGTAAAATATTTGTATAAAACGCAAAAGCAGGACGATTAAGTTTTTTGTGCACTTTTTTGCCATATAAAAAAAATTTATCCCTTTTAAGGAGTGAAATCTAACCAAACTTTTTTTTAATGGGATGATACTACTTGTGGCACCTTGTTCCAAAGCTCTTTTGAAAAGAAAATTGGCTATGCAATTTTTTTAAAAAATAAACCCTAAATTTTTTTTTGAGGTCATTAATCCTAAAATTTATGCAACGTTTAACCTACCTAGTTGCATTTTTGTTTGTAGTCGGTCAGCTTTACATTTATTAGAGAAAAATGCCCAAGTAACAATTTGATATTTTATAAATGCTGAAAAAATGTTTACAGAAAAAAATTTATAAGACCGAATATTAGCTAAGAACATTTCCGGAACATTCTTTCAACAGAATTAAATACAAAATGGGCGCGGTATTATAGAACTATTTGGTTCTCTTGTAAATTCTATTAGATTTGCTGAATGCAGTTAATGGACAGTTACTACACATTTACACAGACATTAAACAAATGTTTTTTTAAACTTTTATAACGGTTTTATAAATATTCAATTTTGAGGTTATGTTGCATATCAAAATCAGTAACATTTTAGTTTTTTATATGTATCTGATAAAAACAAATTCATTCTAGATTTGCCATAAAAGGTAAATTCAAGTCGATAATAGAAAATGGCAGTATCTACCTAAGACATATCTATAACGCGGTTTAGACATAATGTGTGTATGACCCATAATAAAGTCGTTTTTGGATGCGCAGCAGGCATTACTGTTAATTTTATACAATACTATTTTTTAAGCGCCTCGTGTTTGATTCATATTTCTAATATTTTTTCAGTGTGAAACAAAAATTTAATTTATGCAATTCAGTTCCTTTTACTTTCCTATCTGTATACAGATATAAGGAAATTATATGAATCGAGTTTTCGATGGATTTTTACGTTTTGAAGGTCCCCTGAATCCATTTTGACTATTTTCGCGATGATGTGTGTGTGTGTGTGTGTGTGTGTGTGTGTGTGTGTGTGTGTGTGTGTGTGTGTGTGTGTGTGTGTGTGTGTGTGTGTGTGTGTGTGTGTGTGTGTGTGTGTGTGTGTGTGTGTGTGTGTGTGTGTGTGTGTGTGTGTGTGTGTGTGTGTGTGTGTGTGTGTGTGTGTGTGTGTGTGTGTGTGTGTGTGTGTGTGTGTGTGTGTGTGTGTGTGTGTGTGTGTGTGTGTGTGTGTGTGTGTGTGTGTGTGTGTGTGTGTGTGTGTGTGTGTGTGTGTGTGTGTGTGTGTGTGTGTGTGTGTGTGTGTGTGTGTGTGTGTGTGTGTGTGTGTGTGTGTGTGTGTGTGTGTGTGTGTGTGTGTGTGTGTGTGTGTGTGTGTGTGTGTGTGTGTGTGTGTGTGTGTGTGTGTGTGTGTGTGTGTGTGTGTGTGTGTGTGTGTGTGTGTGTGTGTGTGTGTGTGTGTGTGTGTGTGTGTGTGTTTGCATGGGTGCGTGCGTGGGTGGGTGTGTGGGTGCGTGCGTGGGTGCGTGCGTGCGTGCATGGGTGCGTGCGTGCATGGGTGCGTGCGTGGGTGCGTGCGTGCGTGCGTGCGTGCGTGCGTGCGTGCGTGCGTGCGTGCGTGCGTGCGTGCGTGCGTGCGTGCGTGCGTGCGTGCGTGCGTGCGTGCGTGCGTGCGTGCGTGCGTGCGTGCGTGCGTGCGTGCGTGCGTGCGTGCGTGCGTGCGTGCGTGCGTGCGTGCGTGCGTGCGTGCGTGCGTGCGTGCGTGCCTGCGTGCGTGCGTGCGTGTGTGTGTGTGTGTGTGTGTCTAAAGGTGATCCAGAACACTAATATAGAATTACTATAAAACAATTTAATTTTATTAGCTGAAATTTTGTATAGAATAGTTGTATAAATGTTTATGTAACAATTTTACATTTATCGTGAAAACTATTTTATACATTTGCTGTAAAAATATTGTAAAAACTAATTTATATAACATTTTAGTTTTGGGGAACAAAATAGTGGTTTTTGCCAACTTTGGTACAGCAAATTAGCATTTCAGAAACAGCAATATAATATCAGTAAAATATAATACTTTTAGAAACTAAAAATTATAACGCTACTTTGTTAGTTGGGTGTGTATATTTGCTATTAAATTAAAATGAAAAAAAAATTACACTGTCATTTTTCTTGTTAAAAGAGTTTTCGAACAAAATGCCACAAGTAGTATCACGCCATTTAAAAAAAAATAATTGGGGGAGTTTTCGCCCCTTAAAAGGAATTATTTTTTTTGTTTAATGAGACAGGAACGGCCACAAAAACTCAACTGACTGGTTTTTGCGTTTTAACCAAATATTTTATCCTGCGGTTGTAGCGAATTAGTCCCCACCCTGTATACAAAAAAAAAATTCTGATCAAAAAATAAGAAAACAGTTGCTTTTATATTTTTTTAATGGTCCAATTAGTTTTTTATTTTTTTTTTAATGAAACAAATTAAATTTATCAATATTCATCGTAGCAATTCATTTAAAAAAAATATGTGTTTCTGACCGAAAAAAATTAATTTCTCAAAATTTTTTGAATTTTTTTATTTAGCTTTTTTTGGCTTATTTAAGACACAAAAGGGTATAATTTATAATTTCGCCAAACTTTATCAAAATTAAATTATTTTTGGAAAAAGAAAAATTAAAAACAAAACTAAAAAATTCCGGCAAACTTTTGCATTTTTATCTAAAATTTTGAGGTTATGTCAAAAAGTGACCTCTACAAAAGCTGTAGTTTTTTGTTTAATCTACAACTTCTGCATTATACATTTTTGTTTTTTACGTCAACTTTTGCCGGAAATCGCGAATATACCATTTATCACTCCTTTTCAACCCCCTAAAACTTTCAACCCCCAGGTTTCATTTTTTTGCAGTTTTTATATTCTTTTTTAGTTAATTTATATTTTTCTTTGATATTCTTACAAAAAACTTTTAGTTAATTTGTCTATCAAAAGCACCAAATTTCGTTTTTGATAATTTCGTTTTTAATAATAATTTTATGTATGAAAAATATAGTCAATGACAGACATCCTAATAGATAATAGATGTGACCTGCGCTTTTCCAAAAATCTAATGATTATTTTTATTTCAGAATCATTGTTGAAAAAGCCAAGGCGCACGCGTTCATTCTATTCCAATGAACAGATTTTTGAGTTGGAAACCTACTTCAACAAAACTAACATGTATCTCCCAGGAATGGATCGAGCAAAATTATCCAAGAAAATTAGGCTATCTGAAAAACAGATAAAAACTTGGTTTCGGAATAGAAGAATGAAACATAAAAAAATGTTAAGCTTAGGTCCTAATCGTGCCTTCCAGGCGATATCAAATAACATTAAAGAAGACGATAGCATTGAAGTAAAAACGGAGGCAACAGGAAATGACAGTTGATGATCATGCTGAAGCTTATATCTTAAGGGAGATTCAAAATAGCACAAAAGATGAAGCATTTTCCCAAGATGCCAATTATGTGTCGAGCCGACCAGAAGAAGTTGAGCATATTCTTAATGCTCTTGTAGGTATTTAAAAATAATATTGTATATTAAATACATAAGAAATCATATTCACCATGCAGATTTAATTTTGCAACTTTCTCTGAGGTCCGGAACATATTATTAATTCCACAAAATTAAAATTTATTATAACTTTTTTAAAAAAAATGCAGAAGTGCTGCAAACTTGAAGCAATATATACCGTATTATTTTCAACATTATATCAAATTTGCAACTTTTTTGAAAGTCCGAAAAATGATTTTTTTTTTAATAGTGTTTTCGTTTATTACAAAAAATTGCAAAAGTTCTGCAAACCGATGACATAACTCATACAAGTTTTTTGAACAGCTATTCCAATTTGCAACCTTTTATTTTGCACGGAAATATTTTTTTTTTGTAAAAATATCAAAATAATTTTTGATTTTCCTCTAATTTTGTCAAAAAAATGCAAATGTTTTGAAAATTGGTTGCAAATGTAAATAATGTTTTTCTTAACAATCTGGTAAATTTGCAACTTCGGACAAGGTCCGGAATCTTGAAAAATTAACAAAAATCAAGAATTCGCACCATGGCGATTTAATTCAATTTTATCTTTAAAAATCTTTATAAATAGAAACTAAAAGAAAAATGTACAATAAAAAGATGCATGCAGAGTATTAGAAGTGCAAATGTATAAAAGTTATAACTGAAGGTGGAGCATAAATATAAAACTAATTCCGAGAATAAAATAATATTTATTATTATTTTAACGATTGCATGTATGTCCTTGAAAATGTGATTTCTTACAACTAACAAAAACCCAAAAGTTATAGACAGTGGCGGATAGTACTAATTTAAAATGGGTGTTCACTTTTTCCAATAATTTTATCATTTGTTTCTTCAAAACTTTGTACAATTGCCAATATCGCTTTTGTTTTTTATTATTTGAGTTTGTATTAAGTGTAGTTATTATTATCAACATCATACTGTTTTCAAGTACTACAACTATTAATAAATGAATATTTTAGTTAGTGTAATATTTGTTTTGTTATTAATATGTTGAAAACCATCTATAAACATTATAATTTAGTTAAACTGACTTTCCTTCATAATTTGAGAATATTTGTAAATATATTAAGATAGTATTTTAAAGATCAAACAAAAAAAAACTTTTAAAATTATTGTACAATAAAAAATTATTTACTTTTGGACATATTAATAATATCACCCAGTACATGAAACAATGTGACAAATATAGAAACAGTAACAAAGTAACAAATTTAGTAAGAAACAGAATACTAACTTCATTTAAAAGATAACAAAAATGCAATTTGATTAAATTTGACAACCAGGATTTTGTTCGAACAGTAATAGAATTTTAATATAAAATTAGTTTAAAATTACAGTATAATTAGTTTTAATAAACTCACCTTTAATTTATAAAAATAACTTATTTTTAAAAGTAACTAAATTTAGTTCTTTCTATTGGGCACAATAAATTTGAACTTTCTAAATGGGATTAAAAATGTAAAAAGTTGTTGATTTAACAAATGAAAATCGAGAGTCTGGGTATAATTTTAAAATGGCAGAGATGTAGTTTCTTGGTCATCCTAAAAAAGTCAAATGATAAGAAAGTATACCAAACTATAATTTGTTGTAAAATTAGTAATACGTATTTACTGGTGTAATTGGTACAATAAGTTTCTTCTAGTGAAAAGTGATCATACATTTTGGATGTGGAAGTACTAGAAAAGGCTTCTGCCTTTTTGTCCTGGAATTCACTAGTTATGGATGGACACAACGTGGTTTTCTAAGATTCATCTGGATTTTCAATCTCCTTGATAGGCACTTTCCCTATGAAAAGAAAAAAGAAGCAAGTAAAACACAATTTATGAACACTGATGTAGTTGTAAAGGCATACATTTTTTTTGTAAACAATAACTTACCATTTTATTTGTCTTTAATATTAATCTGATTTCATTTATTGAGTTAAAAATACACATCTTCTTTTCAATTTTAATCAACATAAAACAAAGTCGTGTTTTGGTTTTTATGCTATTTATACTCACTTCCTATAATATACTTTATAGTATCGACTATTTTTGTTTGTCCGCTATTCACAAAATTATTTCAGTATTACATTTTTTTGCTCAAAATCTCTAATGATTAACTCAAAAAAACACCGACGTTTACCCCGCCTTTATATTGCGTCACTGTTGGATTGTAAATCTTCATTCGCTCAGGCTACGTTCAGTCCAGTTGTGATTTGTCCTTTGTTGAGCTCATGACGTTTAACCCAGTGCCAATCAAATACACGTGGACTTCCAGGGTAGTATTTGGGAGTTTTTTCTCCTAGTTTCAAACGTACAAATATTGTTTTTAAAATTTAAATTATGGCATTTTGGAGACCATTTGAGACTGAACGCACAAAATTATGGTGTTATTCAAATTAAAATTACTTGATAAATAATAAAAAGTTGTGCTAACTTTACGTTAAGCTATCACAATATATAATTAAAAAGAAAATATTTGACCAAATTTATTTTTGATTTCGCACATAATTTGCACAAAAAACGCACAAAATTATGGTGTTATTGAAATTAAAATTACTTAATAAATAATAAAAAGTTGTGCTAACTTAAGCTAGCACAATATTTAATTACAAAAAAACTATAAATGCACAAAAATCGTGAATAGTGCACAAAAATTGCACATAATTCGCACATAATTATATAGATAGTTTTGATTGAGTGTGCTAAGATCGTTGTGCTATCTTTACATACCTCGGTAGGAACGATATGTGAGCTATCACGGTTGGTTGGATACTGAGCGTAGGACAGTATTGCCAGATGGAAATTTCTGTCAACAGTAGGAATATAGTAAAAAAAACAGGAAATTGCATTTTTCAACAGGAGATTTAAATAAATCTATTTTTAATAGAAAATACAAGCAAAAGAAATTACAAATATAACTCTAGGGAGTTCAATTAACAGTTTTCAATTACATCGGAACCTCACGTGATTTAGCCTTCTAGTCGGTTAGTAGGTCAAACATAATTTTAATTCTCACATATGTAGGTTAAAATAAATAATCATATATACATGTAAACAACCAGAAAAATTCAAATTTCGTAGTACCAAATATCGAAATCGACAATCGTTGTCGAAATACATTGTCGTATTAAAGTATTCTAGTGAAAATTACTGAAACTATCGGAATATTTCCAAGAAAAAGCAGAAAAATAGACATCGAGGCTAAAAACAGTAGATTTCATAGTCAAAACAGTGGAACAGGAGACTGAGAGTGAAAACAGGAGATCTCCTATTAAAACACTATCGCAACACGTCTGCCACTTTCTGGACAACCCTCGTATAAAGTAATTTTTACTGAAGAATAAATGTTACCTGGAAAATAAATAAAAATATTGAACTTTCAAAGCCGTATCTATCAGTTTGTCTTTTCGGTTTGTTTATTTAAGTGAATAGTGGTAATTGTTAAAAACTGATCAGAGACTAATCATATTTGTAAGTCAACAAATCGACTAATTTAGACACAAGTAATATTTGATAATTATATATTTATTAAACGTAAATTATTGGGTAGTATGTTTTTTTTTTTGAAATTGAGTGAAAATAATAACTTTTTAGCTGAGCACTGTTTCTTGAAGTCTAAAATAATTCAGTTAGTTATTCAGAGCCCGGGCCCGTTTTACATCGTCTATCGGTATTTACAAAATCGGGTATAATAACAAACACTAATATTTAAGCAATAATAAGAAGTCACTAAATAACAAAAAGTCAATATCAAATAAAAAGTAAATAAAGTAATAAACTGTAATGTGAGCCATTTCATTATTCAGTCATGCTCTAATACTCCAAGTCCCTCTCTGTATTATTTGGCTTTTAAGGCTCAACTTGTCCGCTTATTATACATAATTGAACCCCTTACGACAAAACCTATGGGACGACTATGGTCATTCCAGGGTCAACGAGATACTATTTCTAGAACGTGATAGCGTTTCTGGTACATACTGGCAATTTTGGTGGGGGAGCATTCTAGGCCACCAATTTTGTATATAAATTGGTGGAGGCGAGCCATCATAGTCAGTAGTTATATGGACAGTGCAGATAAATAGTAATTAGTAGATAGACAGTGGTGAATATAAATAGTGATCAGTTTAAAGACATTCGAAGTATATATAAATTAAAATAGTATTTTTTAAAATAAATAAGTGTTTAAATAAATTATTAATAAATAAACTGTTGTTTGAAAGTAAACAAACATCACATTGGTGTCGAGAAGTGGAATAGTGTAAATAAATAGTGGACAATAATGGCTAAAAAACTGTGTGAATTAAAAGTGGCCGAGTTGCGTCGAGAATTAGAAGATCGTGATCTGGAGACGACAGGAAAGAAAGCAGAGCTGGCAGAACGGGTTAAAGAAGCACTGGAAAGTAAAGGTTTGGATCCGGAAGCGTTTCTATTTTCGGATGATGCGTCTTCTATCATTTCTTCAATTTCCGATATGAAAAACGATATGTCTGCTTTAAAAACCGATATTTCTTCTGACATTTCTTCATTGAAAACTAAAGTTTCTTTCGATGTTTCCTCTATAAAAAATGATATTACTTCCTTAGAAAGTAAAGTTTCGTCCGATATTTCTTCTTTAGAAGAAAAAGTATCTTCTGATGTTTCTTCCGTGAAAAACGAAATCTCTTCTTTAGAAACTAAAGTTTCTTCTGATATCTCCTCTTTAAAAGATGAAATTTCTTCCGACTTGGAAAACAAAATGTCTTCTCTGAAATGTGAAATTTCTCCTGATGTGGAAAATAAGATGACTTCTGTTGAGGAGAAAATAATGTCTTCCGTTGAAGAGAAAATAAAAGAAATGAAAAAGAAGATAGAAGAACTGGAACATTCAGACCCGGCCTAAGACGTTGAAATTAAGTGCTATGAGGTGGAGTCGAAGTTGAAATTGGAAGAAGCTGTAAACCCTCCTCGTGTTAAAACCCCAACTTTCGACGGAAAGATGTCTTGGACGAACTACCT